CGGCTGTAGATGAGAACTTCATATCGCCGATGCCACTCTTTGATGGTCTTCACGACTGATTCCTTGGTCACCGCTTCGCCCTTCAACGATGGAAAGAAGGGTAACCCGGGGGGCAGCGTCCCGCTCTCGTCGCCGAACGTGTCTTTCAGAAATTCCATCTGTCGTATAGCAGCGTGAAATGGGCAGAGCCATATGGTGTTGGCGTCACAGACACAGCGCCACTCTCGAGTTGTGGTAAGAGCGGCACTGTCAGTCTTGGACCAGGGCAGCAGCCAGGACACTACCTTCGTGACTGAATTCAGAGTCACACTGGATGCCAACGAAAGGCTAGCCTCGATCTCGCGCAGAAGGAAGAATACTCCGAGGGCCGCAAGGCTCCAGGCCCCTACGGGGCCGCCACGGACTATTGGTTCTGGCGCGCTGAGTTGCCAAGTCCTAAGTAGAGCTGCATTGGGGCCTTTCGCAGAGGCCGCTTCCATATCGGATAACAGGCTGTCCATGGCGGCCCGTTTGTCCTCTTCCGAGATTCTGCCCCCGGACCACTTTTGCGCTCCTCTGCTGAAGCGTGTGGTTGGCGCATCTGTGCGTTTGGCCCACTTGGCAGCAGGCTGTTCAGACCCCAGGGCTATGATCTTACTTTCAGACGCAGAGACAGCTGCAGGCAGTTCTGGTGGATCTGGCTCCATTTGAGCAGCGCGCTCATTGATCTTGGCCCAGTCAACCCTGGGCAGGAAGCCTGAGACAACAGTTGCATTGAAGCGGCTCGCACTCAAACACACATGCAAGTGCAATCAGTTCAACATGGTGCAGAGACAAGTCGTGGACATATGCATGCAGCAGTCAGCTTCACATGTGCAGAAAGACATGTCTAATCACACACAGCCAGTCAACTTCAAGCTCACAATGCTCACTCAGCGGAGAAATGAATGTTACTGAAAACCGAAGGCCTACACTCCGATAAAGCCGGCCCCCAGGCCGCGAGAGGTTTTGGGCAGGGTTGCACCAACGTGTCGTCAGCTGTCATGCAATCCGAGCCGGAGGGAGCGAATGAGGCCCCCTTCTAGTCCGCTTTGCTTGCGGCCGACTCGCATAGAAGAAAATGATGGTCTCTCTGAGAGGCACTTTCACCACCGTTGCCTGCTGGAGCACCGCCGGCAACCTAAATGTCTTTCCAGGCTGAAAGCGCCTGCTGAGAATATCAGAGACAGTGTTTGATACACCTGGGATGTGCTCGTGCCTCCTTGGACGGTAGCTGCAGCGACTGAAGTCCAGAGCCAACTCTCGTGCTATGCGCCCCAGGCCCTAAGAGCCGATACGCTGTCCGATTCAAGGTGTAGATCGACTCCTCGTTTGACCCAGTGCGAGGTCCATAATCGTAGCGTGACCAACAAGGCCAGGGATTCCCAAACCTGTTGTCCGTCAGGGGATCCGCGCTCAGCTTCGGCCAGCTCCAGGTCAAAATCGCAGAGGGCGTCCGAGAAGTAGGCTATCGGCGTGTTGTTCATCGCCAGGAAGCCTCCGATGCCCCAAGGGCAGGCATCGGTAACAATCCGCATCTTGATGGCCCTCCCGAAATAGTGACTGACCCTGTACTCACGAGTCAGTGCTCCAACCTCGCCCCTGTAGAAGGCGAGGAACCAAGCTGTGACGTGCGCCCATTGTTTTGTCCAGACGCAATTCTTGGGGCGAGATTCGGGACCGCAGCTGTTTATAACGGCCCAGAGGTCCGTCAGGAAGGGGCGCCATGTGTCCACAACGCCCGCCACGTAGTTGGCCTTCCCGACGTATTTCTGGAGGTCCCTTACGCTGATGACGTTCACCTTCTGGTGCGCCTCGGTGGCCTCCAGGATCTCTTGCATCAGCTCAGTTTTGCCCGTTACCGTCACTTTGCCGTCCTTGCCAGCCTTGATGTGGTAATGCACGCCAATCCAGGTGAAATCGGCGCCGCGGGAAGCCTTACCAAAGGCCAGTGGAATCCGGAGCGACATCCACATGCAAATCAATATTGACGCCAGGCGATCTCGTTGACCTTGTGAGCCCACCATCAGGAAGCAAGGATCGTCCACGTATACTTGCAGCCTTGCTCTATCCGAAAGAAAGAGCGATTGGCTGAGTCGCCCAATGAAGGCCGCCACGCGTCCGCAGACGATCGGAGCATTCTTGCTCCCCTGAGTTTGGGTCAGGAAGACGATGTATCGAAGAGGACCCCCGGGTCTTTCGCGGTAGGCAGTGGTGAAGTAGTGACGCTCCTCATGTTGAGGTGGAACTGATAGAACCAGTCCTTGAAGTCGAGAACGAGAGCTTCCACTTCTTCGCCCTTCGAGCGGCTGAGGAGGTAAAGCGAGTCGTCCACCTCGTCCACCGAGTCAGTGGGGCGCGGCAACTGAACCCGGCCCCCTTCGTGCGCTAGCAAATTGGCGCCGGACTCCCGGCAGTCCAGAATGAGTCTACGCTTGGTAGTCCCATCCGACCTCACCTTGGTGACCATGGCGAGTTTTGAGGTCAGCGGGGGTCCGCCCAGCCACGCTTGACATGACTCCAGATCGTCGAAGACCTTGACATAGCCCGTGTCGATGAGCCTCTGGATCTCCGGCAGCGCCATGGGGTCGTCCTCGACCGACTTGTAGTTCTCGTGTTATGATCATCGATTCCCTAATAAGACAGGAAATCAAATCGCAATACATAAATCGAAAGAAAATCAAACAAAATCAAACAAAAATCAAATAAAAATCGAAAAAAATCAAAGGGGATTTCGGGGCGGGGGACCCCAGAGGCGGCCTTTGGAGGCGCCAGACAAAATCAAAGAAAAAAATCGAAAAAAAATCAAATAAAAATCGAAAAAATCAAATAAAGCTTTTTCCGATTTTTCATCGATTTTATTTCGATTTTTTTTCGATTTTGAAGACCTTCTGTCTTATTAGGAATCGAGGATCATAATTCTCGTGGCCCGCGGGGTCATGGAAATAATCCTGGCCTTCATCATCGTCCTGCTGCGCGTCGTCCTGTGGAAAAATGCCGGGATCACCGATGGGGCCAGTGATGCCTGCCGGGGATCCTTCTCTGAGCCAATCCTCAATGAAATCCGTATCAGGGTCGCCAGCAATGCGGCCCCACGCTCCCAGCAAGCCATAATCCAGGCCTTGTTCACGCGAGTGTCCTTCCAGGCCTAGTAGAGCTTCAAGTGAACGTCTGATCTCGCCAAAAAGCTCCTGAACCGGGACTTTGGTGGCTTCGTTGGAACGATGGCCTCGAGACATTGGCGCTGCAGGTCAGGTTGTGAATCAAGGTACCGGTCCAACGTGTGAAAGATGGCCTTGCCGATACGGTCGTAACCAGTAATGGTCTCCATGGCCCTTCTGGGGTGTCTCATGCCCCCTAAATGCATGTCCACGTCCTCATCGGCAAGGCCCTGTTTTCCCCGCAGCGCCGGTGACCAGGAGAGGTGAGGGACAACTCCAGTGTTGACGACATCGTTGCACGGCTGCATGTTCGGTTCATCTCTAACCAGCACGTTCTTCCACCTACCGGCCAGCCTCCAGGGGGTCACCTTCACGGAAAGATTGTCACGCGCCGACAGGCTTGCCCAACTCGTAAAAGAGCATGAAGGTGTCGGCTGCCCGCAGGGCCAGCAGCGTTCCTAATCGGACGTCCTCCTGCCTGCCGTAGATGTCGCGATCGCCAGGTAGACGAAGGGGCCTGGGTCCACCATCGCTCTCCCTGAGCGTTCGCCCATTTTAAGCCCCCATCAAACTCACCTTGAGAAATTCGCTGCCTAAGCATCTGATAAGTGGCGTCATCGGAATCTCGGCTCGAAAATGGGGGTCTGGAAGGGGCGCTGAGGGGGCCTCAATCCGTGCCTCGCTGGGGCACTTCACACGGGCGCCCTCTTTCGCGCCCCTAAGGGGGAGTGAACTCCCCCGGCTCAGGCCTTGCCTTTTCCCCCCCCCTTTCGCCCCCCACCCTTTGGCTTAAAGGTGCGGGGCTGTTTGGGGCCGGATTGAGGGCATGCATGAGCAACATGATCTTCCGACAAACACTTTGCACACTGATGGCGAGTCCTCCCAGTCTTGATGCAGAACCCGTTGCGATCACGCTCCAAGCACTCCCTTCTGAAAGCCTCGACACAAATCGGTGCCTCGCCTATTGTGGGTGAGAAGGCCGTCCTCGCCAATCATGTGTTGCCTGACATTGTCATCGCGCTTGCGCTTGGCTGGTGCAGAGGGTGCAGATGGCGGCCGGTCCACGCCCAAGTCTCCAGGTGCATCCACCGGAGCGTCGGTACCCAACAACTGGGAAGCCTTCTGCGTCTTGGCCAGAATGAGCAAAGCCGGCTCCTCCAGCTCGCGGTGCCAAAAAGCGTGGTCCTTAACAATCATATTCCACACCCACTCCCAAGGCTTCTTGGGGTCGAAGCCGTGCGTCCCTCCAGCAGCAATGGCATTATCACGATCCTCCTTGCCCTGGCGCCTGAGCCTCTCTGCAAGTTCCAGCCTGGCTCGTACATCGGCCTGATACAAGAGAGCCCAGCATCCCCTACCATAACGCTCATGGTACGACCGAATGTGATGTTCGTAGCCATCCAGTCTGGCAGGCGATATCTGACCGAACATAATGCAGCCAGTTCTAAAGACACTGTAGCTTTCGCGCCAGGACTCGAAGTCCGCCGGGCCGTTGATCTCCACCGGCACAATCTCTCCCTGGGAATTGAGTCTTATGCCTTTGAGTCTAATCTTCTTGGCCAGGCGGTGATGATAAGGTCCCCAAACCGCCATGTCCGT